TCGTTGCTCTGAATTGAACGAAAAACTTGAATAGTCATTTCGTATGAATTATTTCTTGATGGAGTGTTCCTCGATGATATAATCAACTAAAAATCTTTACTTCGAATTAAACGAATTATTTGAATACTTGTTTTATATGAGTTATTTGTTGATGGAATGTTCCTCGATGATATAAGTAATGCAAAATCTTTGCTTCTAGTTGAATAAAATATTTGGACATCAGCTCATATCATTTATTTATCTTTAGTGTGTGTCAATAGGCAAAGGACGATTATCGTTCCTTTGAAATAAAAAGCATATTTGAATAGGATGTTTAAGCTAGGTATGTTGTGGCAGTATAAAATGTTGATGATAACTCATCGAGAGAATGCCTTGATAATGCATTCCATCATTCATATCTTTTTCTATGAATTTATTACATTTGCAGTATTTTACGCTTTTGAATTAATTCGATATTTTTGTGAAACATGATCTAAAATTAGTTTTGAGGTGTAGGAAAAAAAACTTTGATCTCTCTCTGCTCCTCCCTCAGAGTGTGATAGATGCTAACTGCAGACCTTTATTTACTGTGACAAATGTTGTTTATATACAGTTATACATTGTATTTACAAAAATGTCTCGTTATAATGAATGAACTAATTCCTCATTACATTTCTGAAACATTAAAAGGAGGATGAAGAAATGTGTCATTTTAATCCAGCAGAGATTGCATTAACAGCTTTGTTTTCTTTGTAGAACATTTGGTACCAGCACAACTTCATATTTTTAAATGGGACTGCACCACCAGCCGAAATCAAAATCAACAAACTTTACATAGTAGTCAGCTCTCTCGTCTATTGTTGTAACTAGTTAGCTTTCTTTTTTTCATATTGTGAACCTATTTACTCTTTCCTTTCATATACTCATAAATTATTACTTTTTATTTATTTTTTTAATATTTTTCGTAATTATTCATACAAATAAACTAAAAATAAAATATACTTTGAGTTCATTGAACACTTTTTTGTTTTTGAATTTGGTTTTAAAAAAAACTTGTGAATATTTCAGGTTAATCTTCATTCCATTTTCAATACAAATGACAAGTAAAAGATATAAAAGGTTTTTTAAAGTTATGTATAACTATTCTTTTCATTCTTGTTTTCTTTAACTCATAAAAGCCGAAGAGACTTTTTCTTACAACAGGAGGAAGGTAGTCACAAAAATAGAGATTATGGACTCTCAGTATACTCATACTATAGCTAAAAAGAATTACCTTGCTCTTCTACCAAAGATACATAATACCCTTTAAGGGACATATCTGGCCTTGTAAAAAACCGAAAGATAGTTCTGTAGATCTGAAATTTTGGCTATCTTTAGGTTTCATAGCCTTCAACGCACCCTGAAATTTTCATGCAAAACGGATGCTCTCTTGTTGAGATATTTGATACCAATAAAAACCGGCCACATTTTGCAAAAGCTTGTCCAAAACCAACTTTTTTTGCAACATTCTGTATCTAGAGAAGGAAACAACTGTTGTTGCTGAAAATTTCAGGGCACTTTAAGTATCATTAGAGGTACCTATGAGCAAAGTTTCAAATTAAAATTCCTTTGTTTCGATTTTTCTATGAGGGTGAATATCTCATCCAAAAAGCATTTTCTTTGAGATGGCATAATTTGCCAGTAGATCGGTTAAAAACTGACAGAATGATTTCATTAGATACCTTGATGTTATGTTTAAGGATATTCCGTAATATAAACAAGGCTGAACGTTGCATTTATGATTAAACAAAACTTTAAGAAAAAAATGTTACATTAAAAAAATCATCAGTCGTAAAGGATCTGTTATTCCAACTGACAGTCACTTGAGAATTATATTTTGATCTCGATAGGATCTCTAAGATCCTCTTAGTTCAGAAAAATATTGGTTTCTTTATACGAGATCTTATTAAGGTTTTTATTGTGGGTATTCAAATGTCCCTTCCAAGGGACATTCGGCTTTTAAAGGTTAAAACACTTTCATTTATATACCAATTGATAGCTATTTTGAAGCTCTACAAAATAATAGTGTTGCGTGGATATAAATTTTGAAAAAAAAAGTAAATATAGGTGCGCTTAATGGTCGCGAATATCAAAAATTGCTGTTTCTTTATGTCCGTGACTATTGCGTACCTATATTCAGTATGTTTCCTCAAAATTTATTCCCATCCAATAGTATCATTTTGTAAAGCTTCAAAATAACTATCGATTGATACATAAATGAAAGTGTTATAAACTGAAAATAAGAGAGAAAGATCATATCTCTATTATGATCTTAAGCGCTCGCTTCTTTCCCGCCCCCTCGTCCTTTGATTTTGATCAATACGATAAAATTATCGTTCACTTACTTATCAATGTGATATTTCTCAACGAATAATGTATATCAGCATTGATAATGGAATCAAATAACAAAAAATTTTTTACCAAAATAATCAGCAGTGAAAACTCTACAAATCTTGCAAGTTTCATTCCCATTAGAAATAGTCATTCGTAATAACTGTAGATCTCCACCTCGGACGATCTCAAGGAATATAGATGAAATAATACTATTTAATAATGTTGTCTTATATATTTTAACTGAATGAAAAGAGTGAAGAATTCTGAACAATGCAGGATTGTAGAGCCGGTGACGCTGTATCGAATACACTATACTACTATATTGAGCAATTCAGCTTTCTGAAATAATCAAGAGCTCTATTTTTCATACAGTCGGTGACTGGTCAAGCTATTTGTGAGGTACAAATTTTTTTAAAGTTCAAATCAAGTTTAGTATGATTCGATGTGTCTTTTCACAAAGAATTCAAATATAATCTTGGATTTTATTTTTAACTTTGTTTTAGTGAAGCAAGCTATGATAAACCATTGATCAAGATTGTTTAGAACACCCATTTTTTGACATTTTACAGGTAATTACTGATAACAGTATTTTGCGTATATCTCCGTGAAAACAAAAGCTTTAAAAAAAAATTGTTTTAATCAAAATGCTTAGAATTAATAGCTGTACAAAGGCTGAAAATTTCATCAAAATCGTAGATCACTTTTGTACAATATGTTTGAGATTCTGTGGAAATAACCATTTAACAAATTTTATTTATTTTCAAGTAGACAAAAGAATAATTAGTAGATTGAGTTGTAAGACATGCCACTTTCTGCTGAATCATATGATTGAGCACGTCTGACACGTTTTTTCTTTTTGCATACACAGAAACATATAATGATTGAAATTGGTAATAAAATCAATATAACAATACCAATACTTATGTAAACCCATGTATTGCTCGATTGTACTAAAGATAAATAAAGTATTAATAAAAGCTAAAATATATGAATATTATATATCTTCTACTACTTCAATAATGCGTACATTATTCGCTGTATGATTTCATCGGAAAACGTTGATAAAAAAAATAACAAGCTATTTTTTAGAGAAATTCAAAATACAACTAAATCTCAAATAAAATCGTATTTTCTTTTTGGTACATCCATTCCATGAACCCGAATCTGCCACGCATGTCAAACTTGAACGTTAAATTCAATTACTCAAGAATTTAAAAAAAAAAACTTTACTTATGTAGTGTCTCTCGAAGAACCACGATTTATACTCATCTCTGTGTATACAGTGAAGTCTATCCTCATTTTATGTTTTGATACTACTGAAAAGGGCTGACTGAATCAATAAACTGGATGGACTTATAACTCCATTCGCAGGCAACTTTAGATTGATGAATTACGATTTAGTAATTTATTGTTTATGAGCAATCTAAAACATTTGATGCAATAGTGATGGGTTTTTGCTATTCCATTCGACATGTTCTGAGTCAAATATGGAAAATGTCTGTCATTCCAACACGCTCTATTAAAAGAGGATACACACGAACAACTGTTTGATTTTCTATTTTTGTGTTCGAATATCTGTATTAACAAGACACAGAGCTCTTCATATTCTTGTCATTGGTTTTAAATAGTGCATTATAGAGATGTGTACCAACCGCATTTTAACAGCAACTTATTTCCGGGACTATTGGTTTGCCATATCAGTTGTGAAATTCTATTGCTAGCAATTCTTTAAAAAAAGGAATGTACATCAAATGCTGAAAAGTTACTTATTTGTTAAATCGTAATCAATTTCAATTAAAATTTATCCTAATAGGAAATCAACCTAACTAAAAACTTATGAGAGAACTTCTCTAAGTATCAGATCACTTTTCGATCGAGACGATATTCATTTGATGGATGCTAGAGGGTAGTTAGAAAAGTCTAGAATGGTTTGGTTTTTCAGATTTTCGTTTTCGCGATGGATTTTCCAACAAAAAACTGTAGTTACGTGAAAAATCGATTTTCGACTTCAAACTTTGTATGAGTAAAGTTCTTAATTAGATTAGTTGATTATGCACCTAATGTCTGTCCAAAAATTAAATGGCCGTGGGGTCTCTTTGGAATAACTCAAGAATGGAAAGAGCTAGAGAGTTGTGATTTTCACCATTATCTGAGCACATGAGGACTCTATATATTCGCTAAGATATGCTGGAGACCTTTGTAGATTCAGAGTTTCATCAGCGTCAATCTTTCAAACAGTACATCACAGTTTTTTAAAATCTCATAGAAATCTATATATCTAAACTATGTAGAAGATAGCCCGAAGATTCCTTTGCAAAATGATGCAAGGCCCAACTCTATAGCTTTTGTAGTTTTGAAATGGCACTTATTTTCTTTAGTATGAATAACCGTAAAAGTTTTCAGCAAAATCCACGATACGCAAGGTTTTGTGTTGTAATAAACTATTATATGGATGATAAACAACAATGCCGTATACGTGTAAGTGAAACGGAAAATATGTTTGCTGGACTCCTCGCAAAACTATAATTCAACAATAAAACGTCCTAAGCGAATCCTACAAATAACATAGAAGACAATATTATCAGAAAAGAAAAGTATTGAAATTATTCATAGCCATTATTGTTACTATTATCATCTTCATATAGGATCAGATTCTTCATCATCGCCAGTTTCAACTAATGTTGATTCAACATAATGATCAGCTTTCTTGAATGTAGCTTATATCTTATAACTTCTTCAAAAAATCCAACTGATATTAATTCATCATATGGAACTAACCAGTTGCTACCGAATTCACGAACATGACTTAATTTAAATGAAGTATTTTGATCTCGAATGTAATTTTTCCTAGCTATAATTAGATAAAATACTGAAGAAGATTCTTTATATAGTAGTGCATGTAAATTTTTGAAATCAATAGTTTGAATTAAGCCGTTTTTGACACACATTATTTTATAACATAGAAGTACACGAAATTATATTATTTTTTTCAAAAACTTCAATTGCATATTCTGACTGCTCTTTCTTTATGGATAGTCCGTTTCACTTACGCATATACGGCATTGTTGTTTATCATCCATATAATAGTTTACTACGAGATAAACCCTTGCTTATTGTGGATTTTTCTGGAAACTTTTACAGTTACTCATACTAAAGAAAATGAATGCCATTTCAAAACTACAAAAGCTAGAGAGTTGGGCCTTGCGTCATTTTGTAGAGGAACCTGCAGGCTATCTTCTACATAGTTTAGATATATAGGTCCTTACGAGACTTCAAAAAAGCTGCAATGTACTGTTTGAAAGATTGATGTTGGTGAAACTCTGAATCTGCAAGGATTTTCAGCATGTCTAAGTAAATATATAGAGTGCTCATGTATCCACATAATGGTGAAAATCGCAGCTCTCTGGCTCTTTCCGTTCTTGAGTTATTTCAAAAAATACCCATGACCATTTAATTTTTGGACAGACATTAATGTTTTCTTCTTTTCAAATGAATCAAGCTGTCGGATTCGAACTACATTGTTTACCTATCAAACAAAAATCTTACCTGTATCTATAATTATAGTTGTTGTTGTCTGTGGTGGTGGTGGATCTAAAATACAAAAAAAAATATCTGTTAACTATATAATTATTTTTTTCATATTAATAAAATTCAAAGAAATGCTTACTTACGAATTTCACAAAGAGTATACGTTCTCCAACTACAAAACCAATCATGCATACAAACTAATGCATCTTTAAAAAGAGCTAAACCAATACATGATTGTCGTTCTCCAGTCGTTTTTAATGCTACATAATTTGGTTCTTGTTCAAGTGGTGACTCTTGTTTACTGAATATTTTATTATACAAAAAAAAAAAAAAAAAAAAAAGAAACGATATCTTATATAATATTTCATTTACCACCAATATGGACTTATTTTTGTTAAAGATGGTCCATGAGAAACTAAATTATATTGACCTTTACCAGACCAATCAACTAATTTTGCTCCTATCCATATACTAGCAAATTGTGTACCATTACGTGGAGTTTTTTGATACATTCTATAATTGTTATATAATTAAAAATTAAAATATTTTTTCGATTTTGTTTTTTAACTTACTCATTTTCTATAATACTTTCTCGAATAAAAACAACAATCGAATCAAACTAGAATAAAAAAAAACAACCATAATTATATACTTTATATATTATAGATATTACTACTTCGTTCTTGCTACGAATAACAAAAAGATCACCACCATCTTTTTGACAATGTTCACGTGCAGGATCCCATGCCAATTGATTATTATCACCTAATATCAAATTATAACATCTATGTATATAAAATAGATTTATATTCATATTTAGTAACATCATAACATTTACTTACTTTGTACCTATTTATCAATAAAAAGAAAGATTAGTTTAAAAAAACTAAAAATATAACTTTTTACCTGAAGTTGTATAATGAAGTGGACATTTAATGCATTCTTCACCAGTCTTTTAATATGAAGATTAATTCTTATTTTGTCAAGAAACAAAAAGATTATTAATATATTTACCCAAAAAGAAAGTGGATTTTTTTCATCAGTTGTTTTACCAATAGTTGAACATAAACAATATCCATTAATACATTGTAATGGATTAGGACATGATGGATTATGTGAACTACATAATTCATTAAATGCTCTAACTAATTATAAAAATATTTTATTTAATTCATTAATATGTCTTACTAAATGGATTTTCAATAAACATAATAAGACTAAATATGAATGACTCAATGATATATGGCATAGAATATGAACGTAGAAATAGACAAGGGAATTTTTTTTTTCATAGTAAAATAAGCGCCTATTAGTTTTTTTTAAATAAAACGTTTAGTTGAATTTACTTAATAAGATTATCATCTGAAATTTCTAACTACTATTTATAATTGATCAATTTGATAGATACAAAAGTCAAGATTATTTTTCTAAATATTTCACGGATGACTTTCTATCTTTCAACTCCGACACAAATCTTTTTTTTAAGCGCTCTATTATCGAAGGAGAGAATTTTGAGTGAGCGAAAGAAAATCCTATCTAATGCGTCAAGAAAAAACTGTTAGCATTAAATATGTACGCAAGACAGTATTCCAGAGTCCTCAATTTCAGTCAATTAATCTGTGATCAGTCGGAAAAGCAGCTAAGCAGATGTAAAATCTAAAGACAATTATCATCATTTGATTCAGCACGGTGAATTAACTCCTACCTAGCTGTTTTTTTCGGGTAATCGCAGGTCAATTGGCTGTAGAACCCGTCGGGTTAGTTCCGGACTTGATCGAATCTGGATCCGATGGACTCTTGTTGTCTGAGAAATATGTAGGATGAACTAGTCACTGAATAAAAAAAACCGAAAAAAAGTATCTCGTATCTTTGGGGGTAGCTATCCAATTTCGATTAGAATATTTCATTGAGAATACCAAAGTACGGTTCGACTGGATTCAGGTTCGAGTCCGAAAAGTTTTTTGATTCGATGGACTCTAATTGGCTAAAATCAGGGATCTCAGTAAAAGTCTTATAACACTCCAATGGAACAAGATAGAAATGTCAGTCTTGTGTAGATGAAAAGAGAAGTATTTTTTCTATCGATTAGTCCTATTTAAAAATCTAAATCGAAACGAAAATAACTTCGGAATATCGTTTTCAAAAATCTTCATCAAGAACTCACCGGATTGGCTAATTACTGACAAATTAAATTTCGATATTTTTCGATGACCCCAGATTTTTTTCTATTAAATGGTGAAAACCTCAAGTCTCTATGATGTTCCTATCAAGAGTTATTCAAAAAACAATGAAGCACATTATCTTTCAAAATAGATAATAGTCATAAATTTAAAACCGTTTATTCAAATTTATGAGTCTTAGAATGAATTCGACCGTTCTAAAACGAAATTTCTTCGTATAGAATTTTCAAATCGTTTACAATTTATTAACTTTAAGTTTAGAAATTAATTTTGTGTCTACAGTTAGCAATATCGAAGTTTGTTCAATAGAGCTATGCACATAAAATATAATTATTAATTCTTCACTTTATATAGGATCTATTGTTATATAATTTCCATTTTCACCGAATAAATTTGGATGTGGATGTGAGAATAAACGGTATCCAAATAATAGCTAATGATAAATTGTCAATGACATTATTCATATATTTTCTTGATGCAGAAGATTGAAATTTTCACCTCATATATATATCCAATCAAGATCTTTAATCATTCAAATTTAGATCTCTCTACATCAAATTAGTACTAAAATGTGTCTATAAGATTAAGATACATGAACTTTCGTAATTGATTTTCATCACATCTTTATTTCTTGACTAATCTCATTACTTTCTATAACCGATTGTAGTTGATGAAGAGTTTCATCTATCGTTGTATCAACAAATTTAGAATTACTATCTACTTATTCTGTATGCTCATGATATGGATACTTTATTCTCAGTTATTATGAAACACACTATGCATCATACATATATCGAGTGTCTGGAAAGTAACTCCCTATTTTAAATTCTTTATTACTCTCAAACAACAACAAAAGATATCGTAATGATTTTTTCACTGTTTTGAAGCATGTTGTAGATGAAATAAGTCGATTGACTGTTTGACTATCTAAGATCAAGTACGAATATCGTCTAGAGAATGTCTGAAAATAATTCATTATTGTTTTTTTTAAGTAGTTTATTATTCTTATAAGAGAACAGATACTATAACATCTACAGAAGTATATGGATAATGAAGGAAAATTTGAGGCATTATATGTTATAGTATTATTTATACTTCAAAATAGTTAAAAAGTTGTTATAGTATCTATTCCCGTATATTCATAATAAACTACTCAGAAAAAAAAATGAATTATTTCCGACATTCTCTAGACGAAATTCGTACTTGATCCTAGATAGTCCGGCAATCAATCGGCTTGTTTTATCTACAACATGCTTCAAAACAGTGAAAAAATCATTACGATATCTTTTGTTATTGTTTGAGAGTAATAAAGAATTTAAAATAGGGAATTACTTTCCAGACATCCTGTATTTGACATTAATTAGAGTCGGTAGAAGTACAATATGTACATTAATTAATTAGCATAAATGCTATTTCAAATATACGATTATCGAAAAAATATTTTCAAAAGCCCAAAGAAACTAGAACCTAGCAAATTATTAAAGAAAATTTTTTCAGGAGGATTGATCTCCACTCCTAAATAATGACTTCAATAATGTATTTTAGTATAGTGTAATATTTATTACGATCTGATTCAAAGAAGAATGTACATCATTGAATACAATCAGCCAACACTACAAATGAGTTAGTTGATAGAATAGTTCATGACTGATTTATCTTTTGCTTTGATATTATCTGAATATTTTACTAGTTTTAGTTTATCTATATTTGTATAATCGATTATATTACATTCTCGAAAAAGTTTTGAGTCGATGATGAAGAGAATTTAATGATTCAAACCAGTAAAACAGTTAGCAAATACAAAAAAAAGAGACATAACCCATTCATGAAGTATTCTGTCAACTAACTCATTTGTAATATTGCTCAATTGTATTGAAAGATGTTTATTTTTCATTGAAAGCAAAAATGTCATCAATCATACATTACACTGCAATAAAATACTTAAGCCATCCTTGTAACTAACATTCACTTGAGACTAAAAGGGTTCTATATGAAAATAATGAGGTGGGGGGGAGGGGAAAGACTTTGCCCAGGGATATATATTGATTAATAACAATCATTATACTATAAAACATTAGTTGCTTGTAATATATTAAAAATATAATAGATAATTCTTTCTTCTGAAAGATAATACTAATTAGATTGACAGATGCTGAATTATTATTAATTATATATCAAAGAAAATTTTATTGGTTTGATTATTTATCTCTGCTATTATTAAATTCATTGTGCAATGGATAATAAAAATGAATTGTAATACAGATTTAAGCTAGAAACTTAGTATGTTAAATTGAAGATTAAAAATATGTGTATTTTGTTAAAGCAAAAATATTATTGTCATTTGGTATCAGATTCTAGTTGGAATTTTGATTGTTTTTTGCTATTTTGTATTCAATAAAAGATATTTATTATTTTTCATGGCCATAGCTATATAAAGATCACAACCCTCTTCCATTAACCCTACTTCAAGAAGTGACAACCCATCAACAAATATGGATAGATATTCATTTTCTGTGTAACTGTCTCTTCTGTCATTTTGGTTTGTTTTTTAGTGTTTATTATAGTTGTATAGATCTATTGCGTACTATTATTTGCCAATAACGATTTACGTAATTGTTTCTATTCATTTAATTATAAAAGCAATGAACATTGATTCTGACAATAGTAGTGTTAATCATGGTCTTCATTTTGACACTGATTGTAAGCGAAAGAGAATAGAAAACTGATTGCACGTACTCATAAATACTGTGATATTCTCTATTAATGACGATTCTTTGTTAGAAGATTCTATAAATTAATAGAAATGATGTAAACAATTACGAAAAAGAAGATGATAATGATGATGATGATATTAATATAACAGCAGACGATCATATTGAATAACTTTCATTAAACATAAATATTAGGAACGTGATAATTAGAATGTTTGATACACATTGAAGATGTTATTTTTCTGTATAAGTTAGATATTATCTATATAAAACATATAAGTTTGAAAATTTTTTTACCACACATATTTTCTTTCAATATTTTTAAATCTTGTCAAAAAAAATTTTTCCTTGATTCAAACGGATGAAGAATGAAATCATTTTATAGTATCCCAATATTAATATTGTTCCGTGGCATAGTGAATCATAAAATAAAGATAAGAATATTTATAAAGAATTCAGTAGAATTAGTAAAAAAGGCTATAATTGTCCTTCAGAACAATTGTCATTAACTTTTCCAGCAGATCATTTTTCTTGTTTATCTTATATGACGCTTAGAGGATGTGGGTGTTCTTATCCTTTTCACCCACATTCTACATAATTAGAGAAGGGCAACAAAATGGACTCATATTAAGCAGTATTACTTCATCGAAAAAATTGACCTTGTACCGCCCTTGGTATCCTATGAGGATGTAAAATTAGTATCGTATCTAAAAAAAAGTACATTATATAAGTACTTTATGAAAATAATTGGAAATTTAGATAAAATATTTATCAGATATTTAATAAGTTACTTAGTTGAAATATTTTTAGACCAAAAAAAAATACATTTGAAGTTACTGTCTAGACATTACGTTGGATTTCGCACATTATATTCAGTGACATCCATTAAATGAATATTACGTATCTTGACGATCGAACCATACTGTTGACATTTCTCTTATCATTACATTACTCTTCAAAATGCCATCTAATTCTATTTATCTTTGACGAGAAAATAACTGATTTTCTTTTAAATATTTGCAAATCAAATTTCGCTTTTACATAGACAATTTGTCTTGCCGTGGGTTTAAAAATGTTATCTATCTACAACAAGAAAATTTCCAGAGGGAATCGAAAGAAAAATCAATTTTGCTTCTTCTGCTATTCATACGATCTAATAATCATATAAGAAATTTCTTCCAGAATTGATTAAAAAAAATGGTATAACAATTATTTTCTTTATTTTTTTTTTGCATGTGCTTAAAAGTATAACTTATCTTTGTTGATATTTCAAAATACGTATGACAATATTCTTTGATATGTGATGATATAAGTTGACA